ACAGACAGACAGACAGACAGACAGACAGACAGACAGACAGAAGCTACTTCTTTGGTTCATTTGCATTTGGTTCGCCATTTTAACTTGGAAGTTTTTACCCGGATAAGTCTCTAGCTCGAACAATGAATTCTCCTAACTGATTGTGTACAGTTCTATTAGTATTAATACTGAGAATTTGGTGTCTTATATAAAGAGTCGATTTTCTTGTCGTGTATATACCTCCGTAGGTTGAATCATCTCAGAGCATGATCAGAATCGTGGGTTTGTCAGCAACACTTCCCAATTACATTGACGTGACGCACTTCCTGCGGGTCAACCCGTACGAGGGCCTGTTTTTCTTTGACGGGCGTTTTCGTCCCGTCCCGCTCGGCCAAACGTTTATCGGGATCAAGAGCCAAGGTCACGTGAAACAACTACATGACATGGACACGATTTGCTACGAAAAGGTTTTGGAGAACGTTGAACAAGGACATCAGGTGAGTCAGAGAAAATCAATTTAAGGAGACTGGCAACAGTTTCCAGCACTTTTCTAACAGCTATACTTTGAAGGATGAATACTTCCACCGTTTAACAAGTGATGCTACAATAATGATAAGCATGATAAGATGCAACTTTTTACAAAGGTTAAAAAAATTCTGTGGAGAGGGTTCAGAGCAATCTTAAGTTTTTTTCCTTCTACAGTCTCTTTTATGTAAAAACAATCATTTTGGGAAGCGACTGCTGAGCCAGCGATACAGTCCTTGTCTTTCTGTTCCTGTCAACAGGTTATGGTTTTTGTGCATGCGCGGAATGCAACCGTCAAGACAGCACTGACGTTACGAGAGATGGCAGCCAATCAGGGAGACGCTACTTTGTTCCATGCCCCACAGAGTCCTGAGTTTGGACAGGCTGAAAAACAGGTACAGCCGGTTTACAGTTTAAAACTGACTGAATCTATTTAGAGTGTACAAAGTAATCTTCAACATATTTGTATGGTGTTTGCATTTGTTGAACTTTACGGTTAAAAAACGTCGTACGGAGTGATCAAGTGTACCTTATTGAAGAGCTATGAAGAGATTCATCCTTTTTCCAATGAAAACCTTCTCTAAATTTAGGGAAACAGAGGAATCAAACGAGTGTATACTGTGGCTTTTGTGTTTTGGCTTTAACGTATGAGTCGCGTCTTGCTCAAGAGGAAAAAATTGCAATTATTCTTGTTTTTTATCGGTTATGTGATATAATTTCACTGCTTTCCCCCAACTGTTCGGCGGAAACATTTTAATCATCCTGTAGCCAAGTGACTTCCAAAACAGTTCTAGGACAAGCAGCATGACAATAAACGTAATTTTGGACCAAATCACAGGTGATGAGATCACGAAACAAGCAGTTACGAGAACTGTTTCCAGATGGCTTCAGTATTCATCACGCTGGTATGTTGCGGCAGGATCGTACCATGGTCGAACAGTTGTTCTCACGTGGTCTGATCAGGGTTCTGGTGTGTACTGCGACTCTGGCCTGGGGTGTTAATCTGCCAGCCCATGCTGTGGTCATTAAGGTATGATCTTGATTAAAAGGGTAAAAAGGTGTAATCAGCTTCTTAAAATTTTGATTCGTTACTAATGGATTCATTCCCTGTCGTGACTTTGGAGATCGTTACCTTCAAAATTCACTGACAAACGTGAAGTTTTATCGCTATTTTCGGGGAGGATAGATTGTTACTTTGCGAATTTTGTGATATTTTGTGGATCACAATTTTCTTGAAGGTTATAATTTAGAAGTCATTTGGAAGTTTCCTCTCCCTGGTAATGTGTTATTTGTTATTTTGACTCATGGCGGAGAATGGTCGGACATCATTAATATTCATTCATATTCATTCTGCCACTATCACTTCTTAGTATTTAGAAACTATTCAAGGCACAGTGACAAAGTTTAGTTATTGCACTCCAACTTCAAGTCCAGTTATTGTATTTTTTATCCTGGCCTTTTTGCTTGTGTTGTGTCCTTGTACTTGTAAGCCTACATGCTGTGGTCTTAATCGGAATTTAAAAACGCAACAATCGCTAGTCATTTTGGATTTGTTGTTGAGGAAAACTCTGTCAGGGAACTCATATGATCATCGCGATGCCATCGTTTTAGAAAAGCTCCGTTATAAAATGTTTTCAAATTCCTCCGGTTTGAGTAGCGTTTTCGAAAAGCTCCGTTTTCGTGACGGATTAGTGTGGACGGTAGGCCTAACTGTAGAAATAAAGCTGCGTTTTCAAATTTCTCATGCGGTGGACGGGGCCTCAGCTTGTTACAATTCAAACGTGGGGTTGTGTAGGTTTTAATAGTCTTAAAATAAAAATTTCTTTCTTTATATCTCTCAAGGGCACACAAGTTTATGACGCCAAGAAAGGCTCGTTTGTCGATATTGGTATCTTAGACGTGCTTCAAATCTTTGGTCGAGCTGGACGTCCTCAGTTCGATAAACAAGGCGAGGGTATCATCATCACTTCACACGACAAACTCAGCCATTATCTGGCGCTTCTCACAAGACAGTCACCGATTGAGAGTCAGTTCATCTCCAGTCTTACTGACAGTTTGAACGCCGAGGTAAGAACCTTGGAGTCAGGGGAAAAACCAGTTAGTACCTTGTTAATTTCTCTGAACTGTGCCCGCGAATTTGGTCAGAGGCGTTTCTGAGAAGCGTGACGGTTTCTTTTTTAGAACTCGTTTCAGGTATTGTAACAGGAGAGAAAATAATAGAGGAATTTTCCTTCTTAAAGTTTATTTCTGGCGCCAATTGCGCTATTAACGAAACGGAACTATGTATTTGAAATAAGCAGAAACAGGCGCCAAGTGCAAAAAAGTGAATGTATTGTATGGTGCTAGGAGAACTCATTTTTAACTTTTTGGGGTTTTCCTTCTTATCAGATTGCCCTTGGTACAGTAACCAATGTCGATGAAGCAGTTGAGTGGCTCAGCTACACGTATTTATACATTCGAATGCGCGTAAATCCACTGGCTTACGGCATCCCTTACGGAACCAAAGAGGTTTGCTTGTCAAATAATGAATTATTTAGTGCATCTTAATCCATCTTTGCTATTCACTAACAACAGGCCATGCAGTTGTTTGACAAGTCTCCAATACGTGTGTATCGAACGACTGAACAAAAAATGACTTTACCACGGGCTAGTGTTACGTTGATCTGAAGAAAAACAAACAGTATATAATTCATTTAATTTGATATCATCAACTCAGGATCAAATAATACGTTGGTTCTTTTTTAGTAATCCCGATCTTGCATTGAGACCAATCGAAACGCTCGTGGACAAAATCTTAACTCACTAGAAGTAAAGCTACAATCTTGTCATGCATCTTAGCACGCAGAAAAGTACTTCCTTAGTTTCTTACTGTACCTCCCGTCGAGAGTTTACTGTACTCTGTCTCTTTCTATGCTTCTTCTAGTATGGAGGATTTTTTCTTCTTTGCCGGGGGGAAGGAGATGTAGTAACCTGTGATAGTTGCTAATACATTTTAATTGCTTCACTCTACAAGGGACCTAAAGAGCTATAGGAAACTTTCCCCTTTCTTATGTCTTGCATTTTTAGCCTCTCGGAATTTCCTTCCATAGGATGACCCTCTTCTACTTGGACACCGCAGAGAGCTGATTGTTAATGCAGCACGTCATTTGGACAAAGCGAAGATGGTGCGGTTTGACCAGCGGACTGGATATCTGAACTCTACTGACCTGGGAAGAACTGCTAGTCACTTCTACATCAAGTACGATACGATAGAGGTAAGGCTAAATCAAACGAATAGACAGACATACAGACAGCCAGGTAGACTGACTGACTGACAGACAGACAGACAGACAGGCAGGCAATCAGATAGACAGACAGACTGACAGACAGACACAAACAGACAGACCGTGAGGCAGTAGACAGACAGACGGATAGAAAGAAAGACAGACAGACAGACGGAAACAAACGGACAGACAGACAGGCAGACAGACAGAAGGCCGACAGACAGAGAGATAATCAGGTAGCCCATTTGTCTGATCATTTCTAGGTTACTGTACGTAGACGCAATGAATTCCATCCTAATTTTCACCCTACATTTTGCTGCAATTACTGATTCTTCTTTTCTTTTCAGGTATTCAACGAGATGTTCAAAGAACACATGCCAGAACCTGAAGTGTTAGCCATGTTGTCTCACTCACAGGAATTTGAACAAGTCAAGGTTAGTACGTGTACTAGATTCTGCAGTCTACACGCGCAGTATCAACAGCCTTGCGAGAAAAATAGAGGATCTGGACATAAGATCTTGATCGTGGCCGTATTTATTTCTCACTGGCATTTTGCCTAGTAGAGCCTTTTTTGTCAAACATCTTTCGGTCGTTTCCGTACTTATGCATCGTGAATTTGTATCCCAGAAAAGAATCTCGTGTTTTTTTTTTTTTAAATAAGAGAGCGAATCATCGACAACGTCGGTCTATTACACTGTGTGTGTGCAACTAAAATATTAGTTACTTTTTTTGGAGGGAGGTTATAGTTTCTTACAANTTTCAAGAGTTGAGCTGGTATTTCTCGGTCACGTATGTTGATAAATCCGCCCATGAATACTGTACATGTATCCTTAATCCTTTATCGTTTTTCCTTTCCAGGTTTTAGCCGAGGACGAACAGACACTGGTTTTCACTATTCCGATCTTCGAGCCATTGCCGTCCCAGTATTACGTGCGAGGCGTGTCGGACCGGTGGCTTGGCTCGGAAGTTGTGTGTGCTCTGTCTTTCAAGCACCTCATTTTGCCCGAAAAACATCCGCCACACACTGAATTGCTTGATCTTCAACCTTTGCCTATTACCGCTCTGAAATGCAAGGAGTACGAGCAGCTTTATCCGTGAGTAGATACGGCTGGCTGCATCACCTCTCATTTGCAGCTGTCATTGTCTTTCAGTTTCTGCGTGCGACACGCATGCGTTTAAGTATAGTCCTGTCTCAGTACTAATCCTTTAGAACTCTTTGTGGGTATTTTCACATATGGTACGTGCGTGCCTACATTTTGTCGAAACTTGGTTGCTAATGTCGTGACGTAACTTGATCACAACAATTTACTGAGATAGCTGTTTGTGTGCTCGCCAATACTCAATTTCTGATTGGCCAATTAGAATCGGAACACGATATTCGTAGGAATTTATCGAATACTACATTGTACTAAATCAAACCGTTTATTGTTGGCGTGGTATAATCTTGTTGTTTTTTCTTTTTATCCTTTTTAAATCACCCTATGAAACAACTTTTTTTTTTTTTCAGATTCACACATTTCAATCCAGTTCAGACGCAAGTATTTCACACGGTGTACCACAC